CTTATAATTAATTAACTTACCTAACTTTTTAAATTTAATCAAATTATGTAAATAGATCTTATATGAAGAACCGGAGAAAAGTATTATACTATCTAGTGCCTCTGGTCTTTAAGATAAAAACTTATATGACTTTTATTTTGGTTTTAAATATAATATTTCAATCTACTCTGTTTCTTATATTTATCTATTTTTGTAATTTTTCCTTGTAATAATAGTAGTTTCAACCAATATATTTGATTAGTAATGATATTTTAGGAAAGATAACATCTATTTATTACAAATAACTAACTTAACTAATTTTCTTAATATATTCAAATTAGTCAACTATTTCTTATATTAAAAACCGGAGGTGTATTTATTAAAAATAATTAACTTAACTAATTTTTTATTCTATTAAAATTAATCAACTATTATATTGAGGATGGAAAGTAGTAAAAAAAAAAACTCAAATTCTATTGGACACAAACTTGGTATTTCGCCTAGGTGGCGGCTCCAATTTATATGGAGGAGCTCCAGCACCAGTACATATGAGCACATCGGATGGCAAAAAGGTGCATAGGATCATGACTATGAAAAACTCAAATTCCAAATTTCTCGGTGTTTGGTCGGCTATAGAGTCAGAGGAATGGGCACTTTTAATATAGATAGGTATGAATACAGCGTGGGATCTGGTGCTCCGCAAAGTAGTTTTTGAGTCCGATTCCAAAGAGCTCGTTGACAGTACTATTAACCACCTGGATGAGACTGCAAGTTTTACCACAGTCTGGAAACTGACTGTACAGATGCTCCAAGAGACGCCAATAGAGCTGCTGATAAGATTGCGAAGGATGGTCCAAGTAACCGTCAGAGTTTCAGTTTTATTGACACGGTCCGAGACTCACTGAGGACCCTAGTGGAGCAAGATATTGTGGGATCTCCATCTCCTCCTATTGGGCTTCCCATGATAACGTAAAACAACATTCGAATTTCTGAGAAAAGAGGTTTTTATATTTAGTACTTACCGTGTTTCAATTTCAAATAAGAAGATATATATGCCTATAAAAAAATTGTACTAGGCTCTGCCCTCCTTCTTTAAAAAGAAAAAAACAGAAAGAAGAAAGAACTAGACTTTCATTCTTTTTTGTTAGGAAAAATGACAAATAAAGACATTTCAATATGTAAAATTGTGATTTAAGACCCTAAATTTAGAAAATAGTAAATAAAGACCCAGTCCCATATTATAAATATGAAATCTTGATAAAATGTCTAAAATATTCTTCCATCAAGTTATGATTTGGTTTATTAAAATTATTATTCGTCAAAGTGAATTTGTTATTTTTCATAGTCAATTTGTCATTTGGCATACCTTCAATCAAGTTGTAATTTGGTGTACTGAAATTATCATTCGTTAAAGTGAACTTGTCATTTCCCATAGTTAACTTGTTATTTGGCTGAGAAGCATTTCAGACATTTTACTAAGATTTTATAGTTGCAATACGAAACCGGGTTTTTATTTGCTATTTTCTAAATTTAGGATTCCAAATCACAATTTCACGTATTGGGGGTCATTATTTGCCATTTCTCTTTTTTTTGTTATCTTTTCACTATATGCGTGCCATCCATACCTTGTTATATTTTAACTAGACTTTCACTCTTATGTGTATGAGAATCATTCCAATAATTAATTAATTATAGAAGGAATTTACCTTAATTTTAAAATAAAAAGGAGTTTTATGGTAATAAACTAAAGATTTATCAACTTCATTGGATCATAGAGAAAAAGCGGTAAATTAAGATCCTCACCTTTTAAGACATCTATTGTCTGGGTAGTTAAAGTGATGCATAATTTTCAAATATTAGTGCAACAGATCATATAATATTTTTTTAAAAGTTGGATCAAATGTTAATAATTTATTAAAGTGCATTTCTAGTCTTTTAATTTTGCACAAAATTTTATTTAGATAATAAAATTTATAAAATATCTTTTAAGACCAAAAAAATACCAGCACTTAAATTTTAATTATGTCGATAAAATATTCTTAAATACTAAGATATTAAATTTAATTTTTGAGTTAACATAGAGTAATCTGAAAAATACTCATTTAAGGATATCAATATAAGTGTTAGAATATTGAATAGATATTTATAGAATTAAATGACCAAATTAAAATTCCGTGTAAAATTGGAGGATTGTGTGACGTAAATAGGTTCATCTTCTTGCAAAAGAACGAAGCGCGAGTATTAAGGAATTTAGCAGTGGTTAAGGTAAAACTGGATCGCGCACTCCACTAAGAAGTCGCGCTGTGTTGAGTCAGGTATCAGTCAAAACCACGTATAAAAGGCCGAATCCTTTGAAAGTCCATCAACTCTTAGCTTCGCGTTTCCAGCTTCCCAAGTCTACTTTCCCATTCTCCAAAATCCCCGCAATCCCAGTCAAAGCACCAAGTTCTAGCTCTCACAGATCCTTCTTGAAGATGTCCCAACTCGCAGAGACCTATGCTTGCATGCCTTCCACGGAGCGAGGCCGTGGGATTTTGATTTCCGGCGATTCCAAATCCAATTCAATTGTTTACACCAATGGCAGATCGGTCGTCCTCATGAACCTCGACAATCCCCTTCAGGTTTCGGTTTACGGCGAGCACGCCTACCCGGCTACAGTGGCTCGGTATTCCCCCAATGGTGAGTGGATCGCGTCTGCTGATGTATCAGGCACCGTCAGGATTTGGGGGACCCGCAATAACTTCGTTCTGAAGAAGGAGTTCAAGGTGTTATCGGGACGGATCGACGATCTACAGTGGTCGCCGGACGGTCTGAGAATCGTGGCTTGTGGTGAAGGAAAAGGAAAGTCATTAGTACGCGCTTTTATGTGAGTGTTCACTTTTCCTTTCTGTGGAGAAAATGCAGAACAATATCAGGGAAGTGAGAATCTGTATGAATGCATGTGCATATATTTCTTAGTTCGAAGCTTTTTAGATTCGCGATTATTGCGTTGATTGATACATAGAAGCAATTATACTGAAACTCCTTAAAACCTAAGTGATTATGTTCTGTTCGACCCAAAAAAGGTGTTTGTTTTTCTGAAAAATCCGTTGACGTGGTTTGTCGTGACCTCCTAGCTATAACTCAAAATATTAGTACTGTTTGTAGTCAGCGGGGTTTCCTTGCGTGTAGTGATGGTGCTACAACGTTCAAAAGTTTAAACTTTAAAATAATTGTTGGTAAGGTATACTGAGGCTTTCAGATATGACATGGCACCCACCATAAAATGCTTTTATATACAGTATAAATGAGTGTTCTTCTTCAAACAAAAGTTAGTCCCTTCCTCAGAATATTCTTGAAGGGTGTACTAACTAAATAATTTTAGTAACTCTCAGACAATGAAAAGGGTCAACAGTAGCCCTTTTGGCAGTTCGCTCTTGCATTTGTCTGTCTGAGCACAAGTGTCGTGGAGAATTGCTTTGCTTGTTTTAACTTTTCAACTCCAGTTACGTGCTTTAGCCTTCCTTCTTATGGAATAATAGAAAGTGAGACTAAATGTCGCACCTGATGAATAGGCAGCTGAGACAAATCAGTTTTGAACAATAACGAAGTAATGAACACATATAATAATCAGAAGTCAGTGCAAAATTGAACTTTTGGTTCTTTGCATTTTATACTAAGATGAAAATTTTTCCCAAGTGTGAATTGGTTTATCAGTATTTCTACCATATAAAGAAAAAAAGCATCTGCCCATATCCCTAAACACTTTGGGCTTTGTCTTTCTATGAGTGTGTTAGAAGCTTTTCAATTATTTCATGTTTATGCATCATTATTGATAAATGGAATTACTTGCCCATATGCTCGTGTAGGGTTTCCACTTTAGTCTTCATTAGGCAGTTTTGAATTAAAATTTTTATTACTTACTGCTTAAACCCTAGAAGTAGGGTTAAGGTGAGTTTGAAAGCCTTCGTGCTTATCTTCTCCCATACAATGTTTGCATAACGGTTATTTGTTGTCCATATAATTATACTTACGTAAATTCTACTGAATAGGTGGGATTCTGGCACCAATGTTGGTGAATTTGATGGCCATTCAAGGCGTGTTTTGAGTTGTTCTTATAAGCCAACAAGGCCTTTTCGCATTGTGACATGTGGAGAGGATTTTCTGGTAAACTTTTATGAAGGACCACCATTCAGATTTAAGCAATCTCACAGGTATGCTATGACAGACGTTATGGCGGTGTTGAACATTGATCTGATCTGAGGGCTGCATGTCCTGTTTTTGGATAATTGTTAAACATGCACCTTCCCACTGGCTTGTTTTATGATTCATTTGTGGGGAAATAATGTTATTATAGTGAAGTGGGAGCAGTCATCCAACTGAAATACAAGAAGGCATAGTACTTTTTTTATTTTTTATTTTTTCATAGTTGAAAAGATTTTTTTCCAACCCGTCTCGTCATATGCTTTTCATGAACTTTTATTGATAATTACTGTGGGACTCGAGACAAAAAAAGAAAAGAAATTTGTGGATGATACAATGTAGATATCTACTTAATTTTTTATGAAGAACCAAAGACCGAAGTTGTGCATTAGCTTCAGTTTTGATGTTTTTAATCTACCCCAGTATGTTAGACAGGTACATTTGAATTAATCTATTTTTATTGGCTTGTTTCTTTCATGCTTTCCACCAGTTGCATTAGTATTGATAAGTTACCTATCTCACATTGATTATTATTTATGTTCAGGCATCATTCAAATTTTGTCAATTGTGTAAGATATTCCCCTGATGGAAGTAAATTTTTAAGTGTAAGCTCCGACAAAAAGGGTATTATATATGATGGGAAAAGTGGGGAGAAAGTTGGTGAGCTGTCTTCTGAAGGTGCCCATACTGGCAGTATCTATGCTGTTAGCTGGAGTCCTGATGGCAAACAGGTGAGCAAAATTCTATTTATGGATTCTGTCAACACCAACACCCCCTGGCATACTGACCATGTTAGAAATACTTTTAGAAAATCTGGGTTTATGATAAATTCTAGTAGAACACAAAGCACGATAAAACTACTAAATTCAGATTTGAAAGGGTTACTACGAATGATGTTCTGTGCATAGTCATAATTAGACAAGAAGAATCGGTTTTCAAATCCCATGCTTTGCACTTTAAATGCATTTCCTTTCTCGTTCTTTGCCTTATTCTCTTCAGTCTTCATATATGGAGTTGCCCACTTAATGTTCTCTTCCAGTGTTGTCAGAATTGGACCAGTTATTGAACTGGGGGGCGCTGGTTCACTAAACCATGGTCAGACCTTGGTCGAACTGGTTTCAATTAGAATAATTTAATTTAAAGAATGCATATGAAAAATAAAAAATATTTTGGACAGTTTAATAAAGTAACAAACACAAAGCAACAACCTATTTCATGCAAATGCTTTTAGGTGGTAAAGATGTGAGACAATTTATTGTGCGTGCAGTTTAGGCGTATCATAGTTTATCTTAGAGGAATGCCAATGAAAAATTTTCTGCTTTCCTTTGCTAGCTGGGAGTATAAGTGAGCTTTCCGCATGATGCTCTTAAGGAAATGCCATTTTTTGGTGGAGTTTTCTTATACTTTCTTGATGAAAATATTTTATCTAGTTACAAATTCATAGATAAATATTAAATTTTAAGCCTATATTTGATATAATTAATATCTTGAATGTTACTTCTTGATACAGGTTTAGTATAAGGCTTTGTTTGGTTCAATGGAAGGGAGGGGAGGGGAGGTTAATTAAAGGAAGGGGAGGGGAGGGGAGGGGAAGGGAGGTCATGGTTTTGTTTGGTTGGAGGGGAGGGGAAGGGAGGGGAGATTTCTTGTTTGGTTCATAAGGGGAGGGGAGGGGAGGTAATTATAAATTGACAAATATACCCTTATCTCTATATTTAGACTAATTTATTTTTTTAATACACACACGATATAATATATAATTATAATACACACATGTTATGATATGTATATATTAATACATATGATATGTATATATTATATAATTATATTATTATATTATTATTATCAAATATTATTAGTGGCTAAAAAGAGAAAGAAGTGAAAAAAGATTTTTAATAAGATGGACAAACTTGGAATATTAAAAAGTTAGTATGGGTAGTTTGGTCAATATTAGACATAACATTTCTCCCCTCCAAAAAACCCCAAATTTGGAGGGGAGCACTAAAAAACAAATTTCTTCCCTCCCCTCCCCTCTATTTTTCCCAACCAAACACACTTATCCCCTCCTCTCTCCTCCCCTCCCTTCAACAACCCTCCAACCAAACAAAGCCTAATTTTTACTGGAAGATTAGACCTCTGGAATGGTATACTTTGTTTAGTTTAATAGTAGAATGTTGACGTCACTTTATGGTTATAGTTAAGTTGTCTATTTGAATATTTTGCTGAACTCTTACCTCGGCGCTTTTGAACAAGTATTCTTTGGTATTGGTTGTTCTCCCCCAACTCTTTCCAAGTAATTCTTGTTGAGCAATTGGAATCTGATCTCAAGTTGTGATGTTATATTTAGGTTCTTACTGTATCTGCAGACAAGTCAGCAAAAATATGGGACATATCTGATGACAACATCGGAAAAGTGAAAAAAACATTGACTTCTCCTGGTTCTGGTGGAATTGAAGACATGTTAGTTGGCTGTCTGTGGTTAAATGATCGTATTGTCACTGTTTCTCTTGGTGGGGTAATATCTATATTTTTAGTAAGCGATCTTGATAAAGCCCCCACAACTTTATCTGGACACATGAAAAATGTATCCTCCTTAACTACTCTTCCAAACAACCCTAGAGTGCTTTTGTCTAGCAGTTATGATGGTATAATATTTAAGTGGACTCAAGGGATTGGATATGGTGGTAAAGTACAAAGAAAGGAGAATTCTCAGATCAAAGTCTTGGCAGCTGCAGAAGAAGAGATTGTTACAGCTGGATTTGATAATAAGGTCAGTGCTTTGCTTATTTTCTTCAGCTACAATGGAAATTGTTATCGCGACATTATAGTCTATTTAATGGCCTTTCTGTCCTATTTAATAGGAATTAAGAAACCAGTGTGCTTTTCATGTTCGTTTAAATGTTAGGTGATTTTACTGTGCCAAAATAACGGACTTTTTCTGCATGTGATGTATTTAAAGATTCAGAGAAGTCTCTATAAACACTTGACAATTGTTTGATTTGGAGAACGTGGAAGTTTATTCTAAAAGGGTTAGAAGGCACGCTTCATATTTTACTGATCCTAGAGTATGTAACATGTATGATTTAACTGTTTGGACTAGAATCTAATACCCTGATCTTCGTAATTTTCCTCCAAAAAGGAAGAAAACATATTTGCACTTATATTGTTATCTGTTTGTAATTATTCCATCACTTCAGGTATTTATATCTTGTAACAGTTAAACCATGGAGAGACTGTCTTGCATGGCAGCTTATCTTCTCCAATAAGCACTTATCAATTAGCTTAGATGTATTTGGATGCATGTATTTTTTAAGGTGTTTTTAGCTTATTTTTATGAGATTCGTGGCAAAGCTTGATAAAATGCTAATCAAATTTGTCGAAGTAATTCTTGGAGTTTCAATTCAAACGCGAAGCATGACAACTTCTGAATAAGGACTTATCTAACTAATTTATCTGAACAGTGCCAAAGGTCTTTATGCTCAGTATGGCAATGTTAAGAATACATTTATTACTCTGGAGATGATATCGTTTTTGCTGCCTTGGTAATCTCAATCTTGAGTGCCTCGAAAACATGGGCATTTATAATATCCATTGCCTTTTCTTAAATGTATATTTATGTATGGATTTTTTTTTTTCTTGAGGTGTATAGTAAATAGTGATATTTTCATGCTCAGCTCATGGCACAAAGCCAACCAGTTTATTTGACTAGAACTTTGAATATAAATGGATATAACTGAGATCTGACATCGATCTGCCATTTGTCAGCATTTGAAAATTTTAGTGATTAAAGAAATCGTAAAGCATCTTCTTTATTGCTTTCATGAAGTGGCTGAAGCATTAAGTGTGAGCATTTTGCAACAATTCATATTTTCTCTTATCCCTCCATGATTCTCTTCTGACACCCTAGATATGGCGAGCTACTTTACAAGGGGATCATTGCGGAGATGCTGAAGCGATTGATGTAGGAAGTCAACCAAAGGACTTGAGTGTTGCACTTCTATCTCCTGAACTTGCTCTGGTTTCAATTGATTCAGGAGTTGTCATGCTTCGCGGTGCAAAAATTGTGTCGACAATTAATCTGGGGTTTGTTGTAACGGCTTCTGCTGTATCACCTGATGGAAGTGAAGCTATTATTGGTGGACAGGATGGTAAGCTGCGCATATATTCTATATCTGGTGATACTCTTACAGAAGAAGCAGTCCTTGAGAAGCATCGAGGTGCAATCAGTGTCATTCGTTACTCTCCAGATGTTTCCATGTTTGCATCAGGGGATGTCAATCGGGAAGCTATAGTGTGGGACCGGGCCTCCAGAGAGGTATTTTGAATATATGAGCAATACACATATTGTATATTAAGCTTTTACAAGCTCAAGTAATTGTGAAAAAGAAATGTGTGGCATGGTTATATGCTTGACCGTTTGGAAATATTGTTTTGCAGGTCAAACTTAAGAATATGTTGTACCACACTGCACGAATAAACTGTCTTGCTTGGTCCCCTGATGGTAGTAGGATTGCTACTGGATCACTAGACACATGTGTCATTGTATATGAAATTGACCAGCCAGTATCTAATAGAGTCACGATAAAGGGTGCTCATTTAGGTGGTGTTTATGGGTTGGCTTTCACTGATGAGTATACTTTGGTGAGCTCAGGTGAGGATGCTTTCATCCGTGTCTGGAAATTAACCCCGCCATGAGTCTTGACATCAATGCTTATTTTAAGATGTAAAGGTGGGAATTATGTCTCGGACCTGAATCTATTCCTTCAACGGGCTTCATACAAATCAGAACTGAAAAGGAAGTGATTATCAGCAGAAGCTGGGGATTATCTTGAAGGAACTCAAGTTTTTTTCTATTTTGTTTGGTTAAGTTACATTGCTAATACTGCTAGCGTCTGCCTGCTATTTACTTTCAAGTATACAATTTGAGGCTGGAGCCATTTTTCCTGGTGCCGCATTCGGAAGTAGGAGTTTCTGAGAGTTCTTTGTCTAGACAATGATGGCATTGGCACCAGTACATCTCCGTAATATCTTGTTGACCTGATGTTGAAATCAAATCCTGATACGAAGATTCTCAATAGTTGCGCCAGAATTTGAAGAAACCAATGCTGTGTACATTACCTGGAAACTCGTTGGATGGTTTTTTGAGTGTTAAATGTGCTGATAAACACAGGGCATAGTCCAGCTTTTAGGCATTTGATTATATTGGTTTGTTAGCTGATATGAAGATTGTGTTGTGTTGTTTGTGTGCTGTTTTAATGAATATGCTTTTGTTTCCCAATCCCCCAAAAACAACAGTGAAGGCAATTTTTTTTTCCTGTTCACTGATTATGTTCCTTAAAATGGACTTGGTTTTTGATTTTTTTTTTTGGTACCAGGTCTTTTGTTATAAAAATAAATGTAAAAATTTTTTTTAGCAGACCCATTTAAGAGAATTTAAGCAAAATTTTCTCAAGTCTTCTCCTTGAAAAGAAAGGTAAATCATAGGTGGTAGTTTGGCTCAAATATATCCTGGGATTGAGTTTATTTTTATATTTTCCCCTCAATTTCCGTATGCTATAATTGGATTTAATTTAATGAAAGTAATCATCTAAAAGTTAAAACAATGAACAATTTGCTCGTTTAGCATATCATGCTTCACTTGTGTTCAAAATATTTTCCTGGTATTGTATTTCGTTATCGCGTTAAGTTTGAATTAGAACAGCCGGCTTAAATTCTTAATATCAATAGTAACAGTCTAATATGCACCTGAAATGGAGATTTGACAACAAAAGTGATCATGGTCTAACGTTCATGATCACGTACTTGGACTAATAGAAGACATTAAAGTAATAATCAAGTATCAATTGAAATATAAGACATTAATTCTGGGCCAAATCAGTTAAGGGCAATGATCCTTCCGAACTACTGGCTTTCTTGGCTGCTTACAATTGAACTCAATCCTGCATGAATGATGTTTTGAATGGAACCTTGCAACAATATACGATGGGACCAGGGCTTAGGTTTAGTGAAAACAATTAATTACTCACAACATGGCGAATCAAAATTTGAATTATTATTAAGAGAATGGTCCTCATTTAATACCTAACAATGTCTTAAATATAATTGTTTTTAACAGAAGAATGCGTATCCCTAGCAAAAATATACACACACATATTGGGTCTATTGGTCGTGGTTGTCTCCATTCAATTGGTGAATGATGATCGCAAGGGAGAAAACGTGGTTAATAGAATCTTTGATGCAAGGGTAAGCAACACAAATCGGTTCATTCCAAGTTCCTTCCGCCTCGTCTCTTCAGCTTTTGATCACTCCTTCTCTTCCTTAGCCAATAATTCTTGAATTAATATCATCTTGGGTTCTTTGATATCAGGGGCAATGTTCATCGTCTCCCTAGGTTTTGCATTATTCTCCATGGAAGAATCTTGGTTGAGACAAGAGATTGTTGCATGTGATCTCTTATGTTGTGATGTGGTGACTAAAAATTAGATAAACTATTGGCTAAACCAAGCAGAGAATGACACACTTGAAGCATGATATTTGTATTAGATAGAGGCAAACACTAACAACTTGAAATTACAAGTAGGACGAGTTCGAGTGCAGATGTTAAAAGACAAGCACATGGGAAATAGGGAGGTGTATAGTAGAAGAGGAACAAACATTGACAAACTCCAGGGCCAAAGTGTGGAGGGGTCTTAAGAGATTGTGAAGGTGGGTGGATTATTGTGAGATTTGCTTCAAAAATTACATATATACTATCCCTTATTTTTAATATAAGAGCTTTTTGGAATCTGATTTGGTCTTAAATATAGACACACACACACAAGACCTTAATTCTTTTTGTCTTCCAAATTTATAATTGTAAGAAAATGGGCCAGTCCACCCTTGGTGGATTGGACCCAAGCCCAGTGTCATTTGGGGTCCTGGTGTAAATCACAAAACACATGGGTCCTTAACTGCAATTTTAGCCTTTTTTTATATGATTGGCAAAAACGGAGGGAACAGTTACGGAGGAGGCAGTTTTTCTGTTTTTTGAACATTTGGAACGTGCAGTTAAGTGGGAACCGGATGGTCAGTTGGACGCACGACTACAGTTTCCTTTTCTCTCCAAAAAAAACTCCTTCCTCTGTTCTCTCTTCTTCACCTTCTCCCAGTGTGTATTTGCTGTGTCTCTTAAATCCGACTCCACCCCCGTGATCGGATCTCCGCGTGGCAACCTGACCTTATTGCAGACTCCAGGTATGCCCGAAAACCTACATTGGTATCAGAGCATGTGTTTTTTCCTATTGATTCAGTGGCCTGCGTTTTCATATCATTTTTTTTTTCTGATTGTTCGGTCTGAGTAACTTGTGATTTGCTTCAATATATTATGCAAATCCTCCATTTTACTTTCAATATGATAGTTTTTCGTGTCTTATATTTATGTTTAGACATATTGGGTTGCTTCTCTGCCTCTGTGAAAATCATTTTATACAGTATATATTTTGGCCGTACGCTTGTTCGTTTTTGGATTGCTTAAAATCAAGTTTTTAGGCTTCAAAATTATCCCATTGCGTAGAGCTCGAAAAAACGAAGAAAATGATATAAAGTACACTAAAAACGGACACCGGACGGCGGAGAACGGAGGAGAGAAGAAATCGGGTCCGACGGGTCCGTCGGACCCGACCCGGTTACAGAAGCCGGGTCAAGGCGACCCGGCTGGAGGTTGAAGGAGACCTCCAGGGGCCAAAACGGCGTCGTTTTGGCCCCTCCTGTTTTAAAAAAAAAAAAAAAAAAAAAATGGCATGTGCTGGGCTGGACGTAGGATCCAGCCCAGACCAAAAAAAAAAAAAAAAAATTGAAAGGTTGTCCTGGGCTGGAGGCAGGATCCAGCCCAGACCAAATAATTTAAAAAAAAAAAAAAAAAAAAGGGAAAGGGCCTGCTTAAAAAAAAAAACGGATTTTAAAAAAAAAAAAAAAAAATTTGATCAAGCAGCGCCACGTGGCGCGTTCTGCCACGTGGCACCCCACCTTGGCACGTGGGGACCGCCATCTGACAGGTCGTGGCGCGTGGAGGCCGCCGGTTCGGCGCGTGTACCGGCGGGGAGCTGCATGGAGGCGCGTGAATTACACGCGCCGAAGGGCGAGTGGGAAATTTTTTTTCCAATTTTTCGCTAATTTTTCCTTCTAGGGGCGCGTGTAGGCGCGTGAAAGGTCCGTTTGAGGTGCGGTTTGTCTCTAAAAATCCCTAAAATCAAGATCTTTATTTTGATATATAATTTGGTAATTTTGGAGATAATTAAGGATCTATTTGTGAGTATTTTCAGTGTATTTTCTGGTATTTTTCATGCGGAAATAAATTCCAGAATATTCAAATATTTTAAATTATTTTGTTCTAGGTGAAAATGAAGCAAGAGGCTTCTAGTAGCACTGAAAATATCCAAGATGGTTCATTGGAATACTCATACATGGATAATGCAGTTCCAGAATATGAGCCAGAGGATGAGGATCCTGAAGAGGACCCTGAAGAGGTTCCTCAAGAAATCCCGGAGGAGTTAATGGATTCTGGACCTGAGTCAGAATCTTTGTTTCCCACTGAACCCCTCCGTACCGAACCTCATTTGGTCTGTAATGATTCGCTAGATCTTCCCAATAAAACCGAAGTAGAGGAAGGCGAAGAGGTGGATCAACCCTGTACCCCTGCTTTAGCTATGAGAATAGCTGAAAGTGATGCAGCTAAATTGACAAACATAAAAGGCATCAATGGTGTGCTCGCTAGCTACGTCCATTACATGACCGATAAGAAGAATACAGAATTCTACCTAGAGTCATAATGGAGTACATAAGAGCAATAAGAGTTAGAGGCGGACCTAAAGGCAAACCCATAAGAAAGTCTTACTGGATTTGGGCCATAGAGCTAGTGTCCTCCTTTATGAACAAAACGCGCAAACTTAGAAGCCTAAGAAAAGCAATGCTTGATTACCTTTATGTTCATATCAAATGATGTAATATTTGTATTCACCGTGAATTTGTGGTTTCATGCATTGTAAACAGACTAAGTATGTTATTTCATTTAATGAAATTACTTGAATTATTGTTGTATGATTATTTGTGAATATCATGTGTATGCCTTTTATAAGTGGGAGCTTTTAGAAGATAAGACTTCTAAAGGTTACATTTTTTTTAAGTGCTTATATAAAATCCTTGATAGGACATGATGATTGTTGCTAGTATCTGTGTGATGGGAGGTACAAACGTATTCTCCTGATCATGGATCTAGTAATTTCATTATTTACTGATGAGGATAATATAGGCACATTACATTGTATACTTCATTGTGCTATATAACTGAAATGTTCTTTGGTTCGGTTCTCTTTAAAGAGAACATAGATTAATGTGGGATAGATTTGTCACAGAACTAAGAATGGCAACCAAGAACATAATTGCTGAATTGAACAAGGGAGAAAAGCTTAACGGGGACAACTGGGACATCTGGCACCGAAAGGTCCAGTATATCCTAGAGGAACAGGATGCGATAGAGCCTCTCACCACTGCTATGGTTGAACCTGAGGCTGGCAACACAAACCAGCACAGGAGAGACCAAGAGGCATATCTAACCTGGAAAAAGAAGAATAGCATAGCAAGAATCACGCTTTTGAGCTCCATGGCTGATGACCTGATGTGTGAGTTTGAGTCGCACAAAACTGCACAAGCCATGTGGATAGCACTGAAGGATAAGTTTGGCGGAGTCTCTACGACCAAGCTTAGAAGGTTGACGATTAAGTTTGATACCTATAAGCTCAAGCCAAACAATCCTATGAAGCAACATCTGAGAGAGATGGCCAATATGATCCGGGAACTGAAGGAAGCTGGACATAATCTGTCTGATGAGCAGCAAGTGCAGGCTGTCATCAGGTCACTCCCTGCAAGTTGGGAGCACATGAAAGTCAACCTAACCCACAATGAAAACATCATCACTTTTAACGATGTAGCTAAGCATCTGGAGCTGGAAGATGAACGTCTAGAGGCTTACAAGAGCTCTGGACAAACTTATTTAACTGAGGATGCTGGTACTTCCCAATCTAAGCCCAATTTCAAAAAGGGCAAGAAGCCCCAAAAGAAAGGGAAGAAGGGCGGTCCTCAATTTAAAAAGGGCAAGAAACAATTTAAGAAGAAGGGAAAGAAAGGCGGGAAGAAGAAGCTAGACCTGAAGAAGGTCAAATGCTTCGCCTGCCAACAAATGGGCCATTTCGCACGTGACTGTTCCAAACAGGCTGAAAGCGAAAAGGTATTAGTGAATTATGTGAATTCACATG